TCTGTTCTATACCATGAGCTTCTACCACATCTCTTATGAATGCAAATTCCCTAATGCTTTGCCTATGAAATCCCTTGTCTGGGAATCCAACCATGTTTTGGAATCTAATATGCATCTTTTCAGCAGCCTTAGAACTAAAACCATTGTGGGGTCTGATCGGCCTTGGAATGGTGGCTGGCCTTTGGGCCATAGCCACCCTTTTCCTCTTAGGTCTGGATGAATGATGTTGCGATGCTATAGCATCAATCTCAGAGTTCCTAGGAGACTCAATCACAACCCTTTGAGACCTGGTCTTCTTACTAGGTGGTTCCTCATTAACTACTGCCTTTGACTTCTTTTTATCACAAGCTTTAACCAATCTTCTCTTTTTAGACAAAACCTCAACAGGGGGTTCTTCATCCTCTTCCCCAAAAAATTCCTTATTGAGGTCGGATATGGGGTCATGAGGAGCAATATGAGGCATATCATTCTCTTCATCTGTGTCTTGCCCAGAGGCAGTCAAAAGGAGAGGTTTCCTCGGTTTTTCAAATACAGTAATGTTCTCCAAACTGCATGTATCATTTTCCATGAAATATCCCATGTCTGTGCCTTAGAGGCAAGGTCCTCCTCTTCTTCAAAATCAGAAGTGAAGAGGCCCTCAGGGGGTGTACTATCAGATGAAGAATGTACCTTTTGAGAAGTTTCAGGTGTTTCCTTGTTTTTGGTGGTCGGAGATGAAGTCGTGGCTTTCTTTAGAATCGGCACAGTGGATGATTTCACCATTTCTTTGACTTTCCTTAAAGGGTTTGTGAACGGGATAATGGCAGCAGACGACACCATTTGAAGAGGAGGCGCGGCTATTGGTACTTCCGGCGGAATAGGGTTGACAGCGATGGGAGTGGATGAAGGTGGCAGAGACGGCGACGGCGATGGCGACGGTGAGTCTTCATCAACGAGGACTTTATATGACTCACCTTTCTTCTTCTTTGTAATGGGGATTCGTTTCCCCGTTCTTGCTGGTTGTCTGCATGAAGAAATAGGAGTACGCACAGTGACAGTAGCCACCGGTGGTGGCGAGTTAGGTGGTTGTGCCGGCGTTTGTTCGGCTGCACGCGACGATGGTGGATCGCGAACCAGGGCTCTCTTCACTCTTGCCATTTTCAAACATTGGTGATGGTGTGAGGGACGGTTACCGGTCGGGATACAGTTGGAAATGGGAGGGAAAAGAGAGGAGAAAGTGGGTTTTCTAGAATGCAAAGGGGTTTTTCTTAAGACAAGGGTAGAATGGGAAGAGGGTGATGTACCATGATGTCATCCTTGGGAGAATGCAAAAGGGGAGAGTACTTGATGGAGGTCATCTTTTCTTTTCAACCAGGAAGCTTTCAAACACTAGTCACAAAAGAGTTTTAATTACTTGACAAGTTGGGGAGATGTGTTAGAAAAGGTGGTAACAAGATGTTTTTTCACAAACAAATAAGTACTTTTCCTTACATCTTGTACCATTCTTTGCTGGAAAATAAAAGATGACTATATTTCTTTAAAAATTAATTTTTAAAAATGTCATCATGCTTTTTCCACTCAAAATTTTCAGACTTTTAAAAATTTCCAAAATTCTCCATTAAAGGCTAGGGTTTTCCAGATGCTGCAGCAAGACCTCAGGCTTTTCTTGACGACTGACTGGACTGCAAAACATACGACAAATAACAAAAATATTATTAATAACAATAAAACTTATTAAAAACAGAAATTTAAGCAAACATAAATATTTACATACACACATTTTGGACTTATAAAAAGTCCCAAAAATACCGAAGCTTTTTAGCAAAGGGTAACAAAATTCACAGAGCATAACTCTGGAATTTCTACCGGATCATGAAATAACTTCACTCTTTGACCGTTAACTTTGAACATATAATTGTCATCGAGATCGATAAGGTCAACTGCTTCATACGGATAAACTTTATGAATGAGGAAAGGTCCAGACCAACGGGACTTGAACTTTCCTGGGAACAATTTTAACCTAGAGTTAAACAAAAGAGCTTTCTGACCAGCTCTCAACTCCTGGTGTTTAATTCTTTTATCATGCCATTTTTTAGTTTTATCTTTATAAATCTTAGCATTTTCATATGACAGATTCCTATGTTCCTTTAATTCACACAACTGGACTTTTCTTTTACGGGCAGCCATATCTGGGCACATATTTAATTCCTTGATGGCCCAATATGCTTTGTGTTCAAGTTCCAAAGGTAGGTGACAAGCCTTACCAAAAACAAGCTTATATGGGGACATACCAATAGGTGTTTTAAAAGCTGTCTGATATGCCCATAAAGCATCATCTAACTTGAAAGCCCAATTCTTTCGGTTTAGCATGACAACCTTTTCTAAAATTCCTTTTATTTCACGGTTTGAGAGTTTGGCTAATCCATTAGTTTGCGGGTGGTAGGAATTTGCTATTCTATGGTTAATGTTGTACTTTTCAAGAACTCCACTCAACAGGTTATTTACAAAGTGGGTACCCTCATCACTAATTAGTTCCCTTGGGGTACCAAACCTTGTAAAAATCTGTTTTTGAAGAAATTTAACCACAGTTTTTGCATCATTAGTAACACAAGCCATGGCCTCTACCCATTTAGACACGTAATCAACAGCCACTAGAATGTATTGACAATGATTAGATGGGGGAAATGGTCCCATGAAGTCTATCCCCCATACATCAAAAAACTCTACTTCTAAGATCTCATTAAGTGGCATTTCATTCCTTTCGGAAATGGAACCACTTCTTTGACACTCATTGCATCTTTATGCAAAATTGTGAGCATCTTTGAAGAGAGTAGGCCAATAAAAACCAGATTGTAATACTTTAGCCGTTGTTCTTTGGCCTCCAAAGTGTCCTCCATATGCTGCTTGGTGGCAATGCTGCAGAATTGCCGCCACTTCAGTTTCTGGAATGCATCTTCTTAAGATTTGATCTGCACTTATCTTAAACAAGTAAGGGTCATCCCAAAGATAAGTTTTAGTATCATGGAGAAACTTTTTGAACATATGGCCAGAAATATCAGAAGGTCTAATTCCACAAGCCAAATAGTTTGCTATATCAGCAAGCCATGGTGGCTTTGATTCTAACACTAGAATTCTTTCATCAGGGAATGTTTCAACAATCTCTTCTTCTTCTAGGGTCTCCCTAGGCTTCTCTAATCTTGACAAATGGTCTGCAACTTGGTTGTCAACTCCTTTCCTATCAACTATCTCAAGGTCAAACTCTTGCAACCACAAAACCCATCTTATTAACCTAGGTTTAGCATCTTTTTTTGAAATCAAGTACTTGATGGTAGCATGGTCAATGTGAACAATAACCTTTGTTCCCATCAAATATGATCTGTATCTTTCAAAAKCAAAAACCACRGCTAAAAGTTCTTTTTCAGTTGTTGTGTAGTTRAGTTGTGCTTCATTCAAGGTCTTACTTGCATAATAGATTGAATGAAAAACTTTTTCCTTTCTTTGACCTAAGACAGCTCCAACAGCCCAATCACTAGCATCACACATGATCTCAAAGAGTTTGTTCCAGTCTGGAGCAACAACTACTGGTGCGATTACTAAAGCTTTCTTCAAAATGTTGAATGCATTTTTACATTCATCCATAAAATCAAATTTTTGATCATGTTGCAAAAGTAAACACAAAGGTTTTGAAATTTTTGAAAAGTCTTTTATAAACCTTCGGTAAAACCCAGCATGACCAAAAAAAACTTCGTATTCCTTTAACAGTAGTTGGTTCAGGTAGTTTTTCAATAATTTCAAGTTTAGCCTTGTCTACCTCAACTCCTCTTTTGGAAATTAAATGGCCTAAAACAATTCCTTCTTTGACCATGAAATGACACTTTTCCCAATTGAGAACCAGATCAGTCTCTTCACATCTTTCAAGACTCCTTTTTAGATTTTTCAAACAATTATCAAACGATGAGCCATAAACTGAAAAATCATCCATAAAGATTTCTATGGATTTTTCAAGCATGTCAGAGAATATGGACATCATGCATCTCTAAAAAGTTGCAAGAGCGTTGCAAAGTCCAAATGGCCTTCTCCTAAAGGCAAAAGTACCATAGGGACATGTGAAGGTGGTCTTTTCTTGATCCTCGGGTGATATGGCTATTTGGTTATATCCGGAGTATCCATCCAAAAAGCAGTAATACTCTTTTCCAGCCAACCTGTCTAACATCTGATCAATAAAAGRCAAGGGAAAATGGTCCTTTTGAGTGGCTTTGTTTAGCCTACGGTAGTCCATACATATCCTCCAACCAGACACTATTCTTGTGGGGATGAGTTCATTCTTGTCATTGGTGACAATAGTAAACCCTCCCTTCTTTGGGACACACTGGATTGGACTAACCCAGGAACTACCGGCTATTGGAAAAATTATTCCTGCATCTAGCCATTTCAAAATTTCCTTCTTCACTACTTCTTTCATGACCGGGTTCAATCTCCTTTGAGGCTCTATAGATTTGAAGTTCTTTTCATCTATGATGATCTTATGTTGACATATAGAATGACTAATCCCCTTAAGGTCAGCAATGGTCCATTCTATGGCTTTGGTGTGCAACTTTAACATATCTACAAGCTTCTTTTCTTGATGTAATTCTAGGGTAGATGATATGATGACACGTAATTTACCTTTCTCTCCTAGAAATGCATACTTCAAATGAGATGGGAGTTTCTTTAACTCCAAATCAGGTGGTGAAATTATAGACGGGGTAAAATTCTTAAGCTCACTATTGTCCAACAACTCAAATGCTGCAGCATCAGATGGGACATCACCTTATAATTCCTCAACAGTATCATCACCTATCTCAATACTTTCCTCCTCTTCTAGCTTACAGGCCTTCCTAACTCCTTCCTCATAGCATATTTTCTCAATCTCAGTAACTCCTGAGCATTCCTCTAAGTAATCAGGGTACTTTAAGGAATTAAAGACGTTGAAAGTGACTTTCTGGTCTTGGAGTCTCATGGTTAGCTCTCCTTTTTGGACATCAATCAAAAGTTCCACCAGTGGCTAAGAAAGGTCTTTCTAAGATTATGGGAATATCCTTATCAGCCTCAAAATCTAGGATGATGAAGTCAGCCGGAAAGATGAATTTGTCAACCTGAACTAAGACATCCTCAATCTTACCTTTTGGATAAGCAATGCTTCTATTGGCCAATTGTAAGGTGACAGTGGTGGGTCTAGCTTCTCCTATGCCTAGGGTGTTGAACACAGACAAGGGCATAAGGTTAATACTAGCTCCCAGATCACATAATGCTTTACCAATCTCCTTTCCACCTATAGAACAAGGAATAGTGAAACTCCCTGGGTCTTTAAGCTTGGGGGTATTTTGTTGGTTAGAAGCGCACTACATCCCTCGGTAAGAGCTACGGTTTCATATTCGGTTAACTTCTTCTTCTTACTCAAAATATCTTTAAGGAACTTGGCATAACTAGGCATTTGCTCAATCGCTTTAACAAGAGGTATGTTGATGTGCAATGCTTTAAACACTTCCAAAAACTTTTTGAAATGCAATTCTTCCTTTTGATTCCTTAACCTTTGGGGAAAAGGAACATAAAGAGGAATTGGCTTTATGATGGCTTTGTTAGGTCGTGTTGAGCAAGATGGATCCAGAGTGCCTAGAGTCTTGGTCTTACTTTCTTGAGGTTCAAATGGGATTACAACTTTGGTTTTTGGACATGTTATAACCTCATCCTCAATTGGCTTTTTCTTAGCAACTTCTTCTAGGAATAACAAAGGATAGTCTGACTTAGGAGGAACAACAGTGGTGGTCTCAGGAGGTTGGTCATTCAAAGGTTTTGATGGACTTTCAGTAACAAGGACCATAGGTATAGTCTCAGGTTTAGACACAACATGTTCACTTTCTTTTGGTATGATCTCAGTTAATTCCTTACCACTCCTAAGAGTCACTACCTTCACGTGTTTTTTTCCTAGATCTCTCGGGACTACAATGTTACTAGGTAAAGTACCAAGGGCTCTACTATTCTGATTAAGAGCAAGTTGGCTAACTTGTGTTTCCAGGTTTTTGATGGCAGCACTTTGTTGATTGAACAAAGATTGATTTTGAGTCATCATTTGTTGTTGTGCTTGGGACTGAGCCACCAGTCCTTTTATCATTGCTTCCAAGGAAGATGATGATTCGGACTGTGGAGGTGGTTTGGTCTGAAAAGGTGGTTGATTACTTTGAAAATTCTGGTGATGGTGATTCTGAGAATTAGAACTGCTTGCATGTTGCTGTTGTTGAAAATTAGGGTTTCCTTGTTGCTTATGGATTGGGGGATTCAAACTTGGACTATTCCATGAAAAATTTGGGTGTTGTCTCCAACTGGCATTATATGTGTTAGTGTAGGAATTCGATCTATTATGAACATAATTCACAGATTCATCATTATGTGGATACAGTTCATAAGAGTGTTCCCCTCCACAACAGACACACTGCACTGAGAGGACAGCTGGAAGAGGTGATGTAATAGCTTACTGCACTTCTTGGCTAGAAGGTAGATTTTTAAGCATATTGGCCATAGAAGAGATTTGTGCTGTTAATGCAGTATATGCATCTACATCATGTATTCATGTTGTCTTCTTTTGTGGTTGAGCATGTGGATCAGCCCAATGTCCATTATTAGCAGAAATTTTTTCTAGGATCTCATATCCTTCATTGTAGGTCATAGCTGTAAAGGCTCCTCCCGTAGTTGCATCGAGCATCTGTTTAGCAATGGGACTTAACCCATTGTAGAATGTCTCGAGTTGAATACAATAGGGAATGCCATGGTGTGGGCATCTCCTTAACAGCTCTTTGAACCTTTCCCAAGCGTCAGGAACAGCTTCATCGTCCATTTGTTTAAAAAGGCAAATTTCGTTTCTGGACTTAGCGTTCCTAGTTGGTGGGAAATATTTTCGCAAAAACTTTTCTGCCATATTACTCCATGAAGGCACAGACCCCGGCGGTAATGAATTAAACCTTGCCTTTGCTCGATCCCTTAGAGAAAATGGGAATAAAGTGAGTCTCAGAGCGTCATTAGACACTCTCAGGATCAGGAAAGCATCAGTGATTTCCATAAAGGAATTCAAATGTGAGTGTGGGTCCTCTGAAAGTAATCCGGAAAATTGTCCGTTTGTTTGCAACATGTGAAACATAATCGATTTTAGTTCAAAATGAAGAGCAGTCATATGTGGCCTAACTATCCCGGAATTTAATTGCTCAAAATCCGGAATAGCATAATCCATGATCCTTCCATTTTTGGAATTTGCCAAATTAATGATGTTCGGAGTATGTTCTCTTAGTTGTTCATTATATTCCGATTTTGTGTCCTCATTATGATTATTATTATGATATGGGGGTCCTTGCGGAAAATTAGGAAAAGGTGGTATTGTCCCAAAGGCAGGCGGTTGGTTTTCTAAATGTGGAATCTCAGGGATGATTGGGGGAGGTAACTCCATGTTAGGAGAGAGTAGAGCAAAAAATGCTCTTTGAGCTCTCCTTCTTTGGCGAAACGTTCTCTCAATATCGGGATCCAATTCAAAAAATTTCCCGCGATGTCTCCGTGACATACACTACTTTTAAAAACAGGACGAGAAAAATCAAATCTTTTACTTTACTTAAAAGAAAACTTTTAACTAACTAATCCCCGGCAACGGCGCCAAAAACTTGATGGCATGTTAGCAAACAAGGCCATAAACAACAATCAGGACCAAAAGCAAGTATACAAGTAGTCCCAATATCGTTTTTCAAGTAATAAAAGTGGTACAAGTACCGGATATCGTCCACAGGGATCGTAGTAAAAGTTTTGAAGAAAGTAAAGTTAAGGAAATGATTTCAAAATGCGAATTCGAAGACTTTGAATTGAACAAAGTTAACACAACTAAAAATTAACAAGAGATAACAGAATAATTAAAGCAAGCTAGGGTGTATGACTTTTCGGGTGAGATGTAAATACTATTTCCAGTCGACCAATGCTGTTAAAATACCACTGCATGAAACCATACTGACAAATTGCTACAGCATGCAATCAGTAACAACTATTTTTACCAATTACTTTGAAGGTATTCCTCTCGGACTTCACCAATGCACTGATATTATAGCTTTCAACCCATATCTCTATGAGGTATCCAGACCAGTGAAAGTGACAAATGGTGTCTTCAAAGTATATGGATAAACAAATCTCTTTGTTAAAAAAAATCACTCTCTCGAGTGGATTCCCATATCATTCAAGTTGACGTGTTCTGAATGACTCATCTCTGAGTCCATTCCACTTTAACACTTCAGAGTGATCAACCTGTCGAGAATTAATAACTTAGAAAATACGGACAACAAATCTCTTTGTTAGCAACTCTCTCAAGTCTACTTCCCATATCATCCAAGTTGACGTGCAATCAATGGCTCAGCTTAGAGTCCACGGCACTTTAACACTTTCGAAGTGATCAACTCGTCAAGAAGTGTCATTGGTTTTATAAAACTTGAAATGAAAAAGTAAAACATCGTTGTTACATGAAAGGGTCTAGCGTATTTTGGTTTAAAAACTCACCTTTTTCGTCACACACCCAAGCTAATAAAATTAGCTACTCATGACGAAAAGTAAATAACAAGAAATATAAAGTGCGGTAAATAAAGACATAAAGTAAATGCGGAAAGTAAGTGACAGAATATAAATGACGGAATGTAAAGGATGCGGAAAGCGTAATAAATAGATGACGGAAATAAAATGCAAGTAAGCGTAAATAAATAAATGACGGAATATTAAGAACGATAATATAAAGAAAGCGATTAAAGAAACTTGAAATGCCAAAAGATTTGTAATATTGAGAAACTAAACTTATTCTCCAAGTAGTATAAAGAACTACTTGAGAGAAAAGCAAGGGAACATTGAAGTAAGAAGTGAGGTGTGGAAGGTGTGGTGTGTAGAATACTCAACCCAACATCCTTTTTTATACTAGGGATTAGATGGGGGCAAAATAGAAATTTCATACCTAATTAATTCAAAAGAAACTAGAAGGTACAATAAAGCAAACTAATATTTAAAAAGCAACTAAATTAGTCTTAACAAACTCCAGCTAATCTGAACATAATACAGCTGTTCCAACTTTAGAAGGCTTTCAAAGGTCTTCCCATTGTCTTGTCGGTCAACTCCAAGTCTCATCCAT